TTTATACAAATAACAAATAGTTGTATTAACAAATTTAATTAATAATATGTTACAAATATTTTTTTTTAGAAATATACCAATTTTCGAATAAAATTATTTTAACAAAATTTAAATATTTTTGTTAAATTTTATTGAACAATTTTATTTTAACAAAACTCGAATATTTTGTTAATCGAACACTATTATTAACTTTTATTGAATTTTTATTCAAGAAACAAAATTTAAACTAGTTATTATCTATTCGATTACAATTTATTCATTATTATTTATTATAACTTTCTGTTATAACCTTATTTGTTAAAACTTTATTTGTTATATTTTTATTATTCGTTACAACTTTATAATTTTTCTCTTTAAAATTTTCGATATAATTTTATTTATTTATAATCTTTTTTTTCGTTACAATTTTATTGTTATAATCTTATGGTTATAACTTTATTTGTTATATTTTTATTCGTTATACTTTTATTCATTAAAATTTTCTTTATTATCATTTTATTTTTAAAATTTATTTTGATACAATTTTATTTATTAGATTAGAAACTTACATTTTTATTAACATTATTTATATTTATCTATTATTACAAATTTATTCGTTATAACTTTATTATTTTATTATTTTAGAATTATTTTAATTATTTATTACAAATTTTATTAATTTTTAATATTTTACATTTATTAAAATTAGACCTTAAATTTTATTTTATTTTATTAATATTTACAAAATATTACAGAAATAATTTTTATTTTGTTCGTCTATATTTTGCTGCAACTCTTGTTCTTCACCTTCCAGATTTGCAACCCGAACTCGCAACCTATTTCGTTCGACAAACAATTGCTGATATCTTGTTTCTCGTATATATTCTTCCTGGATTGCTTCAAAGGACCAAAGATTTCTGGCTGTTGCTTGTGCTTCTAAATTTTGAACTTGGTTATTGAGAGCAACCAAACGATCATAGACTGAGCTTTCTTTTCCTTTCCTAGGCATCTAAAAACAAAACTTAATTAGAAACTACTTGTCTCTAAATATGTATACTAAAAACGATATTATAAAAATATTGGCAAGACGCTTATCCCAAGAATACAACAAGCAAGGTCTATTACTTGCAATACCAATGGAAATAAGTCCTTAACCTACTCGCACAAGAGACCACAAGTATTGAAAATAAAAAGAGGAAAATATAAAGGGAAAATATCTACTTGGGCCGAATACACAGCGCACCAACGTAAATGACCGGCTGAGCCCCCAAACGTCTAAATTAGACGAGACTAAGCGCACAGTCTGAAAATTGTACATACCTTGAAACAACTAACTAGAGGACAAGCAAAAAGTTTTTCAATAATAAAAGTTTTTTTCAAATGACAAACTATTGTCACGGGTTAATCTGTGACTTTCGTCACAAACAACCTAGTCCAAACGGCGAGCACTTAATCGCTTTGCTATGATCGATTTTCAGATTATATTAAGGCAAGTATTTTGTTTATTACTCAAATGAACTTTATTTATTAATTAAGAGAGACGGATTCTAACTAACTAACTCTATTATTACAATCGCTTCTGCTATATACATACTTTGGGTCAATTAATTACATCATAATTTACTCATATGCGATCATACGATCGTTTGACTCTTATATTACCAATAAATTACCTCATATTTCATGCATACTGATGACCTTACGTACTACCGTTGGTTGCATAATTGATCATTACTCGATCTCTTATTTCCGATCGATCATGTACTTATCACATGCATCACGTGCACAAGATAATGATCGTTCGTTCATTTTACCTTCATTCTCATACAAGTTCATCGCATACTGTAAATCACCATGACACAAGCTAGAGCCCCAGAAACTTCATCCCCGAAGTTTTCAGCGTGAACAGGACCTACTTTCCAACAATATCTGCAAAACTAATCCCCAAATTCGCATAATTTTCTACAAGTTCTCTAGCAAGACTCTTCCACGATCGAATATTCTTCTAATTCGGATTCCAAGTAAGTGTTTACCTTTCCTTCGCTCTTTCCTTTTCTTCGAGCTTTTCACATTATTCTTAATCGTTTTACCAATCTTTGTCTTCACTTTATCATTTGCATAATCATTCCCCACTCGATTCATTACCACTTCCTCAACATCGTTTTTCACTTTTACCTCCTTTCCTTTTACTTCGTTATCTCCTAACTCATCCACTCTATTCATTACGTCCACCTTGCCCTTCTCATTCCTTTCAATTTTCATCTCTGATTCGTAGACACGATTAAGATGTTCATCGCAACAAGATACCTCATCACGAAATTCAT